CATTTTCAACTCTCAGGAATGCACTCAGCCAGTACCACGTTGTCCTCGTGGACAGGCGCTCCTTCTAAATCCCAGCCATCCAAAATTGATAGTCAGTCGCCCCGGTTCCTGCCGGCCAGCCTGGAGCACATAATCACAGGATCCCCTCATGGCTCACGATGCCTTTTCTTTAAAAAACTACTCTTCCAGTGACATGGCCTTAAACGATGTCGTCCCCCAATGTACAGTACTTCTCAATGCCAAGGTTGTAACTGGTGCCCATTTCATCCTTATAGGTGCTGGTGACGATCCTCAACCAGCCTCTCTCACCCCAGGGTTAACCCCACGAGTTCCGGACAATCCAGTATTCAGTCCCATCGCTGACACCCCACCCAGCCACGGAAACGACATGGTTTATGAAGGTGGTGCCCTGGTATTGGGCATAGACGCCTCCGGTGTAGCTAGCCAACCTTTCTGTTGCCATTATTCCACAGCTGATGGGACCATTTGCGTAGATTTCTGTCATCACCTTCTCCCTCCCAGAGACAGGGCCGTAGTCTCCCAGTCTCCAGAGGGTGTGGCTCCGGATGGCATGGCACTCTGAATTCACTGCATGTCCCACATTGGTTAAACTTGTCACACTCCTGGTCCTTGGCCTGGTAGTTGTTGCAGGTCTCATCGGGTATGCCGTGCCGGTGGGGTACTCCCACACAGGCAGGTCGTTGCCCCCTTCACCAGAGCCAGCGTCACCGCAGTCGATGAAGTGCTGCACAGACAGGAGGGTGGAGGGCCATGCGCCCTTCCTCTTGATGTTGATCCGATCCGCCATGGCGCTGGTGCTGCCGTGGACCCAGCAGGAGCCGCAGTCCTGGGGATGTGCTGGCTCCTGGTGGTGCTGGCATAGTTGACACCACCCACACTGCGCCAGTCCCAGCTCTTGGGCAGATCCGCTGGCGACAGGTACACATGAGGCCGGGGGTATGTGCTGCGCCCCGCGGAGCCAGCGGGTCCCGGCGCAGGGGCCGGTGGCAGGTCTGGCCCGGGCGGAAGCAGAGGCCGCCCCGCGCGGCGCCCGCCGGCAGCACCAGCAGCAGCAGCGGCCGCCAGCCCCGCCCGCGCCCCGCCATGGCCCCGCGCCGGCTCTCGGGTCCTGCTCTGGACCCCGCTCTGGGTCCCAGATCCCGCTCCGGCTCCCGCCTTGGATCCCGCCCCGCACCAGCCGACCCCGCCCTATTATCATTATTTTTTAATTTTCGAAACAGAGTCTTGCTCAGTCACCCAGGCTGTACTGCAGTGGCGTGATCTTGGCTCCTGGCAACCTCTGCCTCCCAGGTTAAAGCAATTCTACTGCTTCAGTCTCCTGAGTAGCTGGGACTACAGGAGCATGCCATGACGCCAGGCTGATTTTTTGTATTTTTAGTAGAGACGAGGTTTAACCATATTAGCCAAGCTGGTCTTGAAATTCCAACTTTGAGTAATCCACCCACCGCAGCCTCCCAAATTGCTGGGATTACAGGCATGAGCCACTGCACCCAGCCAAAAATCTTTTACTTTAAATGATAAGATGTAGCTACTATTTTATTAAATATTTACTATTTGACTTTTCTGAATTTTTTTTCTTTTTTGATAAAGACGCGGTTTCACCATGATGGCCAGGCTGGTCTTGAACTTCTGACCTCAGGTGATCCACCCACCTCGGCCTCCCAGAGTCCTAGGATTACGGGCATGAGCCACCGTGCCCAGCCAACTTTTCTGAACTTTTAGTTTATTCCACTCACCATAAAAGGTACACTCTTTTGGCCAGGCTCAGCGGCTCACGCCTGCAAGCCCAGCACTTTGGGAGGCCAAGGTGGGTGGATCACCTGAGGTCAGGAGTTCGAGACCAGCCTGGCCATTATGGTGAAACCCCATCTTTAAAAAAAAAAAAAAAAGATACACTCTTTTTTTTTTGAAATGGAGTTTCGCTCTTGTTGCCCAGGCTGGAGTGCAATGGTGCGATCTCAGCTCACTGAAACCTCCACCTCCCGAGTTTAAGTGATTCTCTTGCCTCAGCCTCCTGAGTAGCTGGGATTACAGGTATGTGCCACCATACCTGACTAACTTTGTGTTTTTAGTAGAGATGGGGTTTCTCCATTTTGGTCCGGCTGGTCTTGATTTACCATGACTTATTGTAAAGAACATAAAAGATTTCAGATTGTCCTGGTTAAGTTTATTAGAATGCCTTATTTTATTTTTTGAGACAGGGTCTCTGTCAACCAGGTTGGAATGCAGTGGCACGATCATAGCTCTCTGCAGGCTTGAATTCCTGGTTTCAAGGGATCCTCTCACTTCAACCTCCCAAGTAGCTACGACTACAGGAATGTGCCACCAGGTCCATCTAATTTAAAAGAAAAAAATTTAATAGGGGTGGGGTCTCACTGTGTT